TCTGCTGTTGGAAGATGTGCATGCTGAGAATTAGCTCTTAAGCCATGGACCAGTCATGCAATGGTTTGCTTCATGATCATGTTCTTTCCCTTTATGCAAAATGTGAGCCCAGGTAAGTCCGTCCCTTTAGGGTTCAACATCTTTATGCCCATGTGGGGCTTCCCTATAAATTAAGCTAATTACAAGGCTATTGAGAGAAAACATGAGATTGGAGGGTTTGGAATATTGAGCAGAATGCTTAAAGCTAAAACTCCATCTAAGCCTGGATACTCTTGGTAGCCATGCTTTTCCTTACTGATGAATCTGCTGTTGGAAGATGTGCATGCTGAGAATTAGCTCTTAAGCCATGGACCAGTCATGCAATGGTTTGCTTCATGATCATGTTCTTTCCCTTTATGCAAAATGTGAGCCCAGGTAAGTCCCTTTAGGGTTCAACATCTTTATGCCCATGTGGGGCTTCCCTATAAATTAAGCTAATCTTCATAAAATAGAATGGGAACTGCATTTGAACGTTTACTACAGGTCAGACACTCTAGTATTTACCATGAGAAATCAAGCACTCAAGGTGCTGGGGCTGGAGAGATGTCTCAGAGGTTAAGAGCACTTGTTGCTTTTGCAGAGAGCCAAGATTAGGTTCCCAACATCAACATGTCGCTGACAACTGTCCATAACTCCAGTTCCAGGGGATCCAGCACCCTCTTCTGGTGTCCATAGGCATTGCATGCATGTGATGTTCTTATACACATGCAGTCAAAACACTCACACACAAAATTAAAATGGGTAAAATATTTTTTAGAAATCATGCAAAATGTTGGGTGTGGTGCCACATGCCTTTAATACCAGCACATGAGAGGCAGAGGCAGGCAGATCTTTGTGAGTCCAAGGCCAGCCTGATCTACATAGTGAGTTACAGTCCAGTCAGGACTATACAGTAAGACTGTGCTGTAAAAAAAAAGAAAAAAAAAAAGAAAAAAGGTGCTTATCTTATCATAGCAACTGATATTGGATAAAGTACTCCATTTTAACAATGAGGCGGGACTTATACTTGCGAGGAATGGGACTGAGCCTTGAAGTCAGGTGTGCCTGGAATCTGTTTCCTGACTCTCTTCCTATGTGTCCATATGTCAGGGCCTTTGCAGGCTTCTTCTTGGATAGGAAAATGCCCCTTTCACTTTATGCTTTTTCCCAAGAGGCACCGTTCTTTGCCACCACTTGAAACTCCGGTTCCCATGTCTTGTCCTCAGAGATGTTCTTCAGTCTTCTAATTCCTTACAAAAAGCTTCACATGGTAATTCTTTGGAAAGCATGGGCATTTCTTAGAATATTGCTTTGCAAATTAAATTTTGCTATTATTTTTCAATTGTGCATGTCATCTTTCATGCTTGTAAATTCCTTCCTCAAAGGGAAGACATAATTTATTTGTTTTTTCTTTTGGATTACAAGCAGCATTATTCTATCCATCATGATACTCAAGAAGACACTTGCACAGACTATTAAAATTATGGAAAGCTAGCTTGGTAGAACCTCAGCTTTAAGTCACTTCATCTACACTGTTCTTAAATTTCTTCCATGGATTTTCCAATGACGTTGCTTTTGGCATCGGCTTGAGCATCTATGCAGTGAAGAGACTCTACCTGAGAATCAGAGGATCTGACTGTCAGAAATTACTTTGCGGCTGCCAGTCATGCCTATCATCCTTGAATTCTCCCTCAGCTCTTCCTTTCAGTTACAACGATTCACTGGACCTCACAATTCCCTCCTTAAATCCCTTTTCTCTCCAATATCATTTCCATCATAAATGGAAGTCTCCCACATGCCAATAGAGCTTCCACAGCACACACTTATTGACATTCCTATTCCAGGCCCTTGCATGCAGCCTACTTCCTGCACGATCTCCACTGGGGTTGAAAAATGCAGTTCATTCACTGCACACTCCTATACTTAAACTTTTCATGATTTATGAGTTCCCTCACACTCATTAGAAAAAAGACTTGGTTGTACTGTAGATGTGCCACTTAGGCTTGGGCAATTCACAGACTATGTCTGTGTGTGACTAGTTGTAGTACCCTCTAATAGTCTCTGCCTGGTGCAAAAGAAGCTTCTTTGATGAGTGGCAACTGTGATAGTTGTCTGTAAATATAAGGATACATATTTTGTAGATAGTAAGAAATTACTTTAGTCTAGGGATATGGAAGTCCTAGGGCCTTCACCAAGATCCATGACCTCTCCAGCCATGTGTACCTGGCCATGCCTATGGTACCACACAAGTTCCTCCCGTTGAGTGAGCTTTTAATCTAATTAGGTAGTTGTTGAATATTTCCAAGATAAAAGTGCCACTACTGGACCAATGTCATATGCTGTTCCAGTCATTGGTCTTGAACACCTTGATTCTCATTAATGAAGCTCCCTCATGCGACAGAGGGCCAGGAACTTAAAAGGTCACAAATGGCTAAAGCACAGAGAATAAGGGTCTGCAGAATGCTGGTCCTTGGACAGAACTCCTGTATTAAACTTCACCCATCCAGGACTCAGGGACCATTGTGGAAAAGGGAGAGGAAAGATTGTAAGAGCCAGGGAGGAGGTGTATAACCATATGGAAGTAGAGTCCTACAATCTCCTGGGACCCTGCTCATATGAACGTACAGCAATGGTGTCAGCATGCACAAGTCCCATGCAAACTCAAGCAGACAAAAACCCAGCCTAGAACTGGGGAAATAGGCAGCAGACACAAATCTTAGCAGAAGAAATACTGGCAAGTGATTACTGCTGGGTGAGGAGCAGCTGATCTTCCTAAGGCAAGGGCCTCTTGATAGACTGACTAGACCTCCATAGATGAACTTGCACTGAAGGAATGTCTAGTGACATTAACTTGACACAATAGGCCTTAACATAAATGACAGAATGCATGAATGCCAATGGGGAGAGCTATGGGAGGATTCCAGTGGGGAAGGGAGTATAAAGATGATTAGGACTGATTGAGATAGTCTGTATGAAATAGACAACAATTCAATAAAAAAACTTGTCCTATAAGCCCCTTGCCTCAGATTTGTGTCCTCACATTGTCCCTTATTGTTGATGGCCCTCACTCTTATTCATTGAAACCAATCAACTGCATTCCTTTCTTAGAACAATTACCTCCCATTGAAACCTTTTCAAGTGCTGACTCCTACTTCTCTTCCAAGCACTAGCTAAAAGACCCTTCATAAAATGTTTGACTATCTAATCCAACAGAAGCATACTTAAAACTGCTCAAACCACATTGTTAATTGTATTCTTAAAACCTCTATCTCTGTTTTATTAAGGAAATATATAAGATTCCCTTCTCAACTATGTCTAAGCACCAAGACATCTGACACCAGGCATGTCATTTTCCATTGTACCCTCAATAACCAGCATGGTACCTGGGACAGGGGAGGTGCTCAGAGAACATGTGATAACCTAAAAAATAAATGTTTTCAAGTAATTCACATTCCTATTCTTAGTCTCTAAAATTGGAAATGAGGAGATATCTTAAATTAAAAGATAAGAGCAAAGCTTTTGAGTCAGACTTACATCTGAGTCTAGACACTACTTGCCACTGGATGTTGACTTTGAGAAAGTCACTCGAACTTTTTGGCATTGAGTTTTGAATTGTAAAGTGGAAGCTCAGACTCTGCCTTAAAAGATTCTAATAAGCAAAAATTAAATTGTCCTGGCCCTCTTCCTGGGGGGAAGGTTTATTAAAAGTTACTTTAAATTATTGCTCCTCATTTGTGGTAAGGTGATAATAGCAGTCTCACAATGTCCTCTGTTTCACAGGAACATTGTGAGGGTTACACAAGTTAATGGACACTGGTAGTGCTAGGATAATCTAGGCATGTGGTGAATTAATATTAACAGCCATTGCTATTATTAGCAGTAATAGTGGTGAACAGAATAATGATTATAGCAGTGAAGAGTGATAATGTTGGTGGTATTAGAAATAGTGGGGAGAGTTTAGCACAGATTGATTTTTAGTTAAAGATAACCATGTTGGCATTCCTACTACATTGATCACTACTATTAATAAGATGATGGATGGGGTGGGGACTTGCTGCTTCTATCTTCTGTGTTCCTTGGTGATAAGAGAGACTCTGCTTTGAAATGATAGCTTATTTCTTTTTCATGAACAAAAATGTTTAAATTTATAAGGCATTTTATCTTTTTGAAGGAATCTAGTTCTGGACATGGAACAAGTCCGCTCACACCACTGTTATATGGAGCATCAGATTTGCAAGTCTGAATAAATTCCATTCAAGGCTATTCTTCTGAATGACCTTGGTTTCTTCAGTTGTCCAAGGAAGCCCTTCACTTCTGTTCTGAATGCAGATTCTCTGTGTAACATGGCTCAAACAAGTTGTCTTGTTCTTTCTCATTTAATGAATGTTTCTTTTAATTACCCATGTACTATCATATCACTGACAGGGAAAGAAGCCTTTCCCATGCTGCTGCAGCAACAAAAGCAACTTCCAAGCAGATCTACCTAGATTTGAGGTGTGTGTACCTTGTAGACAGACGAACAGAGAGGGAGTAGCTGGGTATAGAGGGAGACAGGTGTTCTAGGTGTGTTCAGGAAAATAGGGACCCTGGGTATTTCTGCGTGACAGGATTTTTGTTTTCTACTCCATTAAATGACATTACTTTTGAAATGCCTGAATAACATCTATATGATACTTAGCTTTCAGTGGACTGAAAGATTAATTAAAATTTCTAAAATTCCATTAAGCATACTTACAGGATGATTTACATTGAATTTAAAAATATGTGGATAGACGAAAAATAAGAGGGTGAGACAAACAAGTGCTAGGTCACTGGAAAAGGGTTTAGACTGAATATATTTTGATGACTTCTACCTGTCCTTGGGGGAGAGGATCAGTGAGCCCAGATAATACGTCTCTGTTCTATCCAGCCCATACCTTCCTCCCCCAGTCCCAGATTTCTTCTAGTGACTGCAAATGTGCAAATGCCTGATCCATCCATACCTGAAGGTCATCTGGAAGACTTGACCTTGATTCACATGCTGGGTCCGGTTGTTGTAACCATGTAACATCTCTCCAAAAAGGGTGTCATTGAATTTGGAGTCCGGTTTGAGGCACTTGGGGCCCTCACAGACATCTGAGACCATTAGACAGGATTTCCCATCAGGAGCCAACTTGTATTCTTCCACACAGCTGCAGGACAGGACAGATCAGAATTAGCGCCACATCCTGGGTGCCCCCACTGGAGGTGACCTAAAACCAGGCCTTCCTCTGCTTAGAAAACAGGTCAGAATTTAGGCAAGGCGACAGCTATGCTGGCAGACTCTATTTAGGGCACAGGTGTCTAGAGAGAAGCATGTTAATCCTGAAAATTGCTAAATTCAAGGATAGTCATTTGTGGCATTTTTAGAGAAGTCGAGAGGGACAGCAGCATGCACATCCACACACAAAGCAAATTTAAATAGAGTTTTCTATGAACACACAGACTTAAAAAGCATGACAGACCAATTCATGGGAAATTATCAACTAGTTTCTCAAACAAGAATCTATTCCCAGTGTATCCATCAACCAAGGTTGAATTCTGAAGCAGAAACAAGGTTTTTATAGCCCTTGTAGCAGATGTGACCCTTCCAGGATCATGGGCATCACACACAGCAGCAGAAACCACCTCTGCTCAGCTATTGCTGTTAGCAATCTCTGTTGGTCTCTCAATACCTGATAGCAAGAGGAGCCCTGGACATGCTTTTGAAGCAGGGTTGGGCTCCTCTGTGGACCAAACAGGCATCAGAACGAGGAGATGTTTGGAGTGGGAGAGGAATTTTATAGACACATACAGGGCACTGAGGTGGAGGAAAAGTAGGGAGAAGGGAGCAGAGGTCTCCAAACTCAAAAATTAATCCAGAAACTTATAAGTATGTTCCCTTTTACGCTTCTTTGGTGGGTAGATACAAGCAGCTGTGCATAAATGAACAATCAGACAAGCGAATAGGCAGGACAATTGGAGGGACGCACACAAATGTCTTCTTTGCTTTGTGTGGCCTGTATGAACATGAGAAAGGCACCTGGCTTCTTTGGCCCTTGGGGAGTAAGCCTTTTCAGCTGATGGGAATTCACTATGAGACCATGAGGTCACACAAGATATTGACTACAAAAAGATTGTAAAGCACCTAGCAAAATAACAATAATGGAGGTGTTTCTATGTACTGAGCATCTCCTACCCACTGGATAGTTTGCATACTCATTTTCTAGTAATGAATAACATTAATATCATCATCCCTATTACATATATTAATGAAATAAGGATTCAAAAATGAAATGTATTACCGGAGGGGCAAAACTTCTGCTCAAATTCAGGTCTGTTTAGTAACAGCATCTTTTCCCACTCTAGTCCTCTCCAAATCCAGTCTTTTCTGCTTACATGATATGATCTGCTAGAGTCATTATTTAAGAATTCATATACCATGCACTGTTTTATTTGCCTTTCCTTCAAATGATAGTCAAAACCTTCATATCTGACTGCAGAAAGACTTAGGAATTCATAGTACATGTTAGGCACTGTGGAATAGTTTGGATAGAAACTGTCCCCGAGTTGCTAGGACTAGTAGCTGATAGATGCTAGAAATACAAGGCCCAACTAAAAGCAGAAAACAAACAAGTCAAGCTGAAAACTTGACCCAAGATCGTTCTGGTGAAAAGTCAAGAACTTCCCATGCATAAAGCAAGCTGTCTGTCTCCTTCTTTCCCTCTGGTCCCCCAGTGTACTGCATTGAAGCCATGATTTAGCTTTTAAGGGTCACAACTTCCTGCCCAAAGTATAGCACAAAGTTCCTAGAAAGAGGCCCTGTTTAGGATTCTTGATAAAGTCTATTCTCTTCCCCCCACCTTTTGTACATATATTAAGTATAAGTAAATCCTCTCAACACAGTTAAAGCGCAGGTAAATACGGAAGTAGAAGCATAGGAAAAGTACTGCTAAAAGTCTAATCCCAGGAGGGTCCCAGTAAACACGAAGAGGTAGTTTGCTTGTTAAAGTGGCTAGATTTTATCTTTTGGAGACACAGCCCTGTGCTTGGCACAGCTCTCTCTTGCTCTCTCTCTCTCTCTCTCTCTCTCTCTCTCTCTCTCTCTCCATTCACCCATATACACAAATGCCTGTGCCTCTGTGACTAAATATATTTGTGTTGTAAATGTGTAAACAGTTTCTAAGATTGTAGAATAAAATGGGAAAGCTTTTATTTCCCAGTCTACACTTTCTGTAACACTGGTCATCAGTACTATGTTGCACATTTTACTTGGGTGATTTCAATGCATGTAATCACATATATTTTTGTATGAATACACATATAATACAGACAGGTTCATACAATTAATTATAGGCTCATAATAAAAAAATTCACTGTACATTTTCATGAGACATGCGTTTGTAACTAGTGTTACTAGAATTTTTTCAAGCCAGCAAGTTATAGATCTGTTCTTTAAATGGTTATTTGGAATTTCACAGTACAAATGTACCATAATGCTTTTAACTAATTTTTATTGATGGGCATGTTGGCTGTTTGTAGCTATTTGTTATTATAAACACTGCCAAAAG